CATTCCTCATAGCCGTATTATCATTTCTTAATGCTGTATTTTTTGAATTCAGATTATGAAAGTCATTCCGTTATCACATGTACTGCACACATACTACATGATACATGAGGTGACTAGTCGTATTCTAGCCGAAGCCGAGAAGAAAAGTGGTAATTATAAGACTTCTTTTGACCGAGTCTTTTGATCTGAGAAAAACATGAAACGAGCCGTGTAAAGTTCTTTATTCTTGCAATTTCATACTACGTTGAACCGCTGATCGTTATCTTTCGGCTAACGAACCTTCTCTCTCAGTGTTCCTTCCTTATTCACAGACACGTATGGCTAGGGCGCAGTGAATCGAGGCATTTTGTGGGACATCAGACCCTACGGCTTACAAATAATCTACTATAGCAAAAATGATTCCCTTTTGAAAACATCGCAATTGATAACCCAAACTGGACCATAATAATGGACGAAATTAATCCTCAGATTATTGTAACACATTCGCGTCGGATTCGTCTACGAAGCGCAACCTTCCTCAGCACAGTGCAACATCGACCAGTGGAAGAGGAATCCTAGAGCGTGTAGGTGGACAACGTGTACGTTCGGCCGCGGTGAATTCATCAAATCTAGTCTGAGAATTTCGTTCTGAGGTGACGACAGGATAGAGCAGCTACAGCGGTTTGACCAGTTGGGCACGTAGCAGCCACGGAAAAGTTACTGTAGACGAAGAGCTGACAAGAGTGGACAGAACAGCGACAGGAGCAGGGTAAGTTGAGTAGGCGTAGACGAATATGGGGAGGAAGGCGAAATAACAACGTTCGCGGGGACCATCGACGGCGGAGGTATCTACCGATTGGAAAGGAGTGTCTCCGATACTGAGCCTTTTACAGGTGGTCCGACTGTTTTCAATTCCTGGCACATGCACCGGAAATTGCTGCTTCATGTCTCAGCAATCGTTGTCGTATAACGTAGCGGTTTCTGACAGTTCGACAATTATAAGAAAAGCTACTGACTAACACCGGAGCCGGTGGAAGAGCCCAGTGGACGAAGCTACCGCAAAAGAGCTAAGTTTTTCAGATATGAAGAGAGAGAAGAACGCGATGATTGGCATGAAAGGGATGTTTTCTCTATTGAACCTCAGTAAAGATTATCCGCGCATCATATCAAGGTTACAGCAAAGTCGTCCTTGCACATTTCCTAATGGAAAAACCTTAGTGTTCACAATACAGTCGTCATCCGGGCACTTGATCAGGGCATTTGAGTGTTAAAGTAGCTGCATTGCATCATGACGGGGGCCATCAGCTTTTCCAGCCTGATTTGGCCATTTTTCCTGATTTTCACTACATTTTCTGTTTTTTTCCACGGCTAGTTGTTTTGTTGTTTTTAAGAAATACATGGGGCGTGGAGATTTTTTGTTGTTTTTACAGTGGAGTGTTATGCGATTTTTTCAGGTGTTTGTTTAATTGTCTGCTCAGTTGTTTAATCGCGCCCGAAAATCAGAGGAATCTCAATAATAATTTACCTTGTGAAGACAAGGAACAACTAATATCGAG